TAAATTTTAATTGAAGTACAGTTGCATATGAACATTCCTTGATCCAACTGCTGCCACACTGCCCGCAGAAGCCTGGGGTTCCTGACTGACCGGCGGAGGAATCCCGTGCTGACCGCCCCGTGTCCTCTGGTGGGTTCCCGGTACCCAGCTCAACATTTGCAGAGGGCGGCTGTGAGGCCGCACACCCTGCGGTTCGGTGGACGGCCCGCTCTCCCACACTGGGAGCAAATCCATCCTTGTTGTCGCATCGCTGCAGTACTCGGACAGATTAAGCTTAGTCCCTTGCATATTTGCTTGGTGGTTGTTATCTGTTCTATCTTATAATAAAATAGCCTCTCTCTCCCCAAGAACAACAACAAAAGCCCTGTCTGCATTTATACAAATAGAAATGCTGGCAGTTAATACGTTTAAAGAGCTGCTATAGTGGAATAGCAGTACAAGAAATTAATAACACGTGAAGTGGAAAGGCAAAAGCAGCTTTCTTACACAAAAAGCTATGTAATGAAAATACTGATGCATTGTTGCATATAATTTTTATTTAGTATTCAAATTCCATCACATTATTACAAAAATTAATTTGTAACTGTTCTAATAATGGCAATCATTTAAAAGATTGAAGTGATACATAATTCATTGACGACAAGTTTGAAAATACAGATAAATGAAAAAGCTGCACATCACTATAATTGTAACACCCAGTTTCTTTCAGATATTTTTATTTTCTTCTAGTCCTTTTTATATAATTGTGTATTTATATACTTTCTTTTTGCAAAAAAAATAAGATCCCACTTTATATAGTGTTTAGTAATCTGTCTTTTACCATTCAACAATGCAGGACAAACACTCTTGCATAATATTAAGTTAATGACGACCCCAAGTTATAATTTATTTCACAAATTTCCGATTGTTGCACAGTTAGGTTCTTTCCAGCTATTTACTATTATAAATGATGTATCAATGGACATCTCTCTGGCTATAATTGTTTGCACCTCCATGATTATTTCCATAGGATAGACTCATAGAAATGTTATTAATGTTTCAAAGTTGTGTATGTTTTCAAGCCTTTTGAAAAAACAAGTTTATCAGGTAGCAAAGGATAAGAACCAGTCTACTTGGATGACTACAGGTATTTTCACAAAGTACAAGAGAAAGCATACTAGATTAGAGCATCAGGACCAGTGCTGAGTTTCTTCCTCTCCCACCAATAATTCCGAAGAGCTTGACTAGTCACTCAGCTGTTGTAGTCTTGTTATCGTTAAACAGGGTTGACACAGGAGAAGATGAAGGAAAAATGTGCTATCAGCAGTTTATGTAAACAAAGGCCTCAAGGACTTGGTCCAGAAGCTCAGTAAGAGCTGGTGTGAAGTGATGACTTTAAGACATACACACAACGCCACACATACACTTATGTACACACAGATACACACACACATGTGTGTGCGTGGCCGCACTTAACACAACCTTAGACTAAGTTAACAAACACACAAATTAAATAACAGAATAAACTAATACTCTTATTACTTCCCATATTTAAAGTATTACATTTGATTCGGTATGATAAATTCTAAGAGCGCTGTTGATAAGTTAACATTTTTCCCATTATTCAGTGATAAGGACACTTTTCTTTTTTTTGGCTTTCCATCCCTTCAAGTTTCAAGCTCTGCTAATGTAAAGGCCTTGGCTCTCAGGTGAGAGATGGTCCCACGCAGACTCAACAATGGTTCCACTGACCTGGAAGTCGAAAGACTCATTTTTGGCTCTTCAGGCCACTGAACCAAGAAGAAAGAAGCAAGTTGTCATGCAGCTCTGGGTACTGACTGCCATGATCAAGGGGAGCTCAAGTCCGGGAGCACGGTGGGGGCAGCAAGGTCTCAGGTTGCAGAGCAGGGAATCCCCAGCAGTACTGCTGCAGTTTCACTGGTGCGATTGTAGCACCCTGACGAAGGCGGGACCCTGAGGATTAGCGCGCTCTGGGAGGGAAGATTTGGCGCACACCATCAGGGTAGGGATCCTGTGTGACCCATATGCTGGCCGAGGGCAAAGAGAACATGGAAAAAGAATGGAAGAAGCACCACGTGAGTATAAACTGCAGCCTTGTGAGAAATTACAGAAACAAAGACTATAGCAGCCATGCATAGTTCTCTGCTTTGCTTGTATCTGTGTGTATTAACCAATGATTTATTTTCACCTCTCTTCTCTCCTATATCATGTAAGAAATACTAGTGATGATTACTTTTATTCTTAGAAAACTCAAACGGAAGAAATATTAAGATCACTTAGAGACGGAAATGATGATTGATGAGAACGTGCGCCTCTCTTTTGGGAGAGTGACAGCATCTTCAATTATTTAAAGGGTATTTGTGTGATATTGTTACTGTGTCTGGAAGTTTCAATACAGACTACAGGGTGAGAATAAATGCTGAATAGACAAAGAGTGGGTTTTGTCTGTTGGCTCAGAGTAAGCTCCCTTCTTGCCCTCCTGTGCCTTAGTCTGTATTCTGAGAACCCTGCGTTTCCTAGTCGTTCCTGGAGGCTAACTCCTCGCCATGGAGTGTGGAAGCATTGGAGAAGCTCTATCTTTCTCTGCTTCCCACTGGGCCCCAGCACTAACAGACGTGGCCACAGAGGTGGTGCTGTCCACGTTGCTGCCGCCTCCTGGGCAGCACCGTGCAGAACGTCAGCTGCAGCTTCTCAGCCGCCTCAGCAGGGCAGGGGTCGTGGGCTCTCAGTTACACTTTTCCTCTTTTGGCTCCTTCATCCATAAAAGTGAGAATGGCTTTCCTTAGTTATTAATCTCTAACTTTACATTTTCACTTAAAAATATTTATTCATTTATTCATTTATTTTTAGAGAGAGGGGAAGGGAGGGAGAAAGAGAGAGAAACATTGGTATGTGAGGGATACATTGATTGGCTGCCTTTCAAACACCCCCGACCTAGGACCTGGCCTGCAACCCAGGCATGTGCTGTGACTGGGAACTGAACCAGTGACCTCTCCATTTGCAGGCCGGCCTTCAATCCACTGAGCCACACCAGCCAGGGCACATTTTCATTTCTCCCCCTCTTTTCCAGCATTTGGTAATCAGTTCCCAGTATTAAATTCCATCTGTTTGAAATACCTAGTGGGGTCCTATTTCTCCATGAGGACAACCATTGATGCCGAGAACCCATGGCCCAGCCTGTGCAAAAGACATATGGATGGAGAAGGAAGAAAATAATCACTGATTGGCCAGAAACAAAATGGAGAAATCATACAAGATGTCAGGGACAGCAGGCTATGGTTTCTGATGTTAACAACTTCAGGGTCCTGAGTATGGACTTGGAAGCAGCTGCTCAAGGGAAGTGACACGTTTTGGAATTGACGGGATCCTTTAACTGGAATGCGATGGTGCCACCGGGTTCACTCAAATGACTTGAAATAAGGAGCGACGAAGCCGGGCTATGAGACAGGGAGGGAGATGAGGACACGGCAGGCTGCCTTCTAAAACAAGGTAATATTTTTATTAGAGAAGTACATGTTAATGGCTAAGACAGGGCACTTGTAATGACATGAATTATTTCCCCTTCTTCTAACTGCCGACACGTGTTTGATGAAAACGTCAGGGGTTGCTCGGCCTCCAGTCTCAGGCAATCGCCTTCGAACTGCGGGCGGCAAGTTAGTATAACCACGCGCGTTTGCCTCTGTGAGCACACTGGACTCGTGCACTCCTCTCTAAGGCATATCAGATAAAAACCGCGTTTGCCCTTGGCTGACGTCATTGCAGCTCTTTTCAAAAAACCCTGTGCTGCAAACACACAAAAAAAGGAAATATCACGAGGCCGGAGTTTAATGGTTCCGTCAGTGCAGTGTGATTAGCGTATACCCTTTCAGAATGCTGTGGAACTGTCCTTAGTGAATAATGAGGTTGAGGAGATTAAGGAGCTATTTATACCCTACCCCAAGTTGCTGTCCGAATTACTGTTTTACAGTCTGTTTATTTATTAGCTTTCTTGACTTCTCATTTGCTGAAATCTTTGCAGCGGCAGTGCACTTGGTATTACCTGGTATTTCCCTTCCAGAAGCACGAACGGCACCAACACATTAATTTGGTACCAGAAGAACAGAAGTTGTGCTGTACTAGGCTGTGAAGGAGCCAACACTAATTTACCTGTTAGCTGGGTTGGCTAGGGAAGCGTTTCTTATCATATTTACACCCTCTGTAACTTAGTTATGTCCACAAAACAGTCCCTCCAGACAGAATTAATTAGAACTGGTATTTTGCCCTGGAGTGTGGTTTGCCGTTTTCCTTTATAATTAATGCATCATTGTGAATCCCCTTAGTGCTGTTACGGCGACTCCATCGCTACCTGCTACAGAAAACCACTGTATTTAGTCACAATTTCTCTGCACTATTGCAAGTTTTATTTTCAACTGCTAACCACAGCTCAGAGTCTACTAAATTCAGCAAGTTATAATTTTTATGTAGGCTAAAAAGAATGGTGGGCCACAAGTCTGGGGAATGGGTATTTTATGATGAAATTTTTACCTCCCCAAAGGTTTTTACATTTAACTAGTTTACTTGCTGAAATACTGATTTGTAAGTTTAGCTACTAAGGACAATTTTAAAAGATTTTACCGAAATTGGTAAATTGGCAAATTGGTAATTTACCATAATTACATTCTAATACTTAATTACAAAGCAGTTTCAGGTGTGTATTGTAATCCATTGTCCATTCTTATACTGCAATTTTTCTGGTTTTGCATTTTGGATGGCTTTTGCATAAGCTCCCTCAAAACTCATTACTCAGGGGACATCAGACAGGTCTCTGGGAGCTTCAGACACCTGGCTTTGAGCACAGACAGAACAAGGGGCAGTGGGATAGAAGTATTGCTACTAGTTGCCAGTTCTTACCAAAGCCACGACTAAGCAGAGAGGCAGGCAAATACAGACATGTACAAAATATTTTTCCCAAAATAAAAATATCTTTATTATTTTCAGATAATAAAAATGATAATGCTCATTATAATAATTTCAAATACATAAAATTCTAAGGAACGTAAAGATCACCCAAATACCATAGCCCAGAAAAAATATCATTAACCTTTTGGCAAAGTTCTATGAAACTTATATTATTATAAAGTATCCAGTGTTATAAATGAGCCCATATTAAACATGCTATTCTGGAATCTGATTTTTCATTCAATAATATTTCAGGGACAAATTTCCATAGCAATAATGATCTAAATAATCATTCATGACAGTTGCATATAAGTCGGTGTTATATATGTACTATAATTTATGTAACCCATTTTTAGTTGAAAGATATTTAGGCTGTTTCCAATTTTTAATATTGTAAACATCATAAAGTACATCTTTGCCATCTTGTTTACACAGGAATGTAATTTTTATTTATTAGGATAAAGACTTAAACAAATTTCTGGGTAAAAGTGTATCATTTAAATTTTTGATACATGTTGCCGAATTTGATGCATGCTGCTCTCTTAGAAAAGTACCAATTTTGACACCAGCCATGGTGAACAAGAATGTCTATTTTCCTATATTCTTGTCAACTGTTTCAATATCTGCCAATCTGGGAGGGTAAAATTAACATTAATAAAATAATGAACACACATATTATCAGCCATTTTTAAATTTTCAAATAGAAGATACTTTCAATTTTTAAGTTACAAATTTCAGAGCAGATATTTCCTGCCATGGAATAACCAGTGTTCAGTGTGGTGCCCATTCCAGCATCAGTGCGACTCAGGAAAAGAGTCAAGTTCTTTGAGATCATTTTCCTTGATCTATGGTGGCAGCATCCAGCTCAACAGGTACTTAAAGCTTAAATACGTGCGTGCACCTGCCAATGTGGCAGGGAAGCTATTTCTACCTTCTTACCCCCATTCCAATCAAATGTTGATCTATAAGAAAATTTAAAATTAAGCAAATGAAAAACGATGAGAATATTTATAGAAGTGTTGCTGTTTATACAGATGACCATGAGTGAGGCAGATGACATCAATTGGAAGGCTCATATGTTAAGGTTTGGTAGGTAATGTTGATCTTTTGACATGAAAATGCCTCCCAAGAAAATACTCACATGTCAAATCCAATAGACCATCAAATATCGATGATTTGGGACAGATAGATGGAAACAAAATACAGCAAACATTGGTTTATCACCTGTCAAAATGTTGGTTTATCATTGCTTAGACCTGATAAACCATGTGGGGATATTTCTTACCATGAAAACACTGACGAGCAATGTACACAATGCCCAATTCCTCTTTTAAAATATATCTCATATGTTAATGTTTGACGTTAATAACTTTTATCCAAGAATGATGAACGGGAACTATTTAAGCAAAATGATTGATGATAGCATGGGTATCAAGAAGACAAACTTTGGGTAGAATTAGAAGTTAGCAATGATACACTAGATACCAAAGATTTTGAAGATGCTTCAAAGGACTATTTGATCCATTCATTTTATAAATATTGTTGGGTCAATTATGCACCAAGCACTATATTAGCTAGTAGGGACACAAAAATGAGCGGGATACATCCTGTGTCCCCAGGGAAGCTTCAATAGTGTGGAGGAGAGGAAAGAAGCGAACGGCAGCTCCATGATGGGGAGACAGTAAGGTGAGGCATGCGCGGGTGTGTTGGATGACTGAGAAGAAGCCTGCTGAAGATGCCACCCGTAGCAAGCAAATGCTCTGAAAAAAATGACTGCTCATTGGAAGAACAGATCTGTCATATCTGCCACAAAGCATGTCATAGACTGCTTTGTGCACAAATAGCAAAGTGAAGGGCTGCCACAGAGAGATCAGCTACCCAGCAGGACAAGGAGAAAACCTCCGGAACCGCCATATGAGAGCTGGCGGAGGAGCCAGGATCTGCATCCAGATGACGCTCTGAGACGGCGGCTCGTGGAGAGCTGCCAGTTAAAGTTAGAACTGTGATTACAGCTCTCCCAGTGTTTCCTGTTCACCCACTCATTCATTCATTCCGTCAGTCAAGTGTACAAGCCATGAGGGCAGGGTGTTTTGTGGGGTTTGATCTTCATCATCTCCCCAGCTCCTAGAACAGTGCCTGATGCAAAGGGGGCTGTTAGAAAATGTTTGCTCAGTGAGTGAATGGATGGATGAATTCATATTTTTTACATCAAATGGCTGCATTGGCATGGAACTGCGGCGGACAAGCAGGATAGTGATAAAGGCAGGAGATATGGCGAGGCTTGCTGAGAATTTGTGTGGTCAGCAAATGACTTCACATCCATGCCTTTTCGTAGGAAAAGAACATTGGGCTTTGAAGTCAGGCAGTTGTGGGTTCAATTCCTGGATCTTCCAGATCTGGGGGGACCTCAGGTAAGTTCCTTAACCTCCCTGAGTCATTTTTGTCATCTATAAAATGGGATTCATACCTTCTGGTAGTTGTGATGGTTGAACAGGGAAAAAACGCAAAGCTCTGGACCCAGTTCCCTTTGTCCTCACCCCATTCTCCCAACCCCAGCGGTGGTGGTGTGCACAGCCCTGTGGAGCCGTGGGCCCCCCATTCTCTGGAGAGCCTTCTTGGAGCGCTTCCTGGGCACTCAGTTCTATTTCTCTTATTCCCGTCTGTGTTCCAGCAAGCTTCTCTAAGAGGCCACCTTTAGCCTTTCAAAAGTGCAAGGTAATCTCTGCCCTCCTCCCTAAGTCCCATTGGTTGATGGTTCAAATAACAGATGTCACCCAACAATTTACTGGAGTTGATGTCTTTTCTCCCTTACTTGGTATCCAGGTAATCGCTACAGTGCCTTGGTTCTGGCAGATGCTTAGTAAATACTACTCAGGGTAACCAACCCTCACTTCTGTACTCACCATAGTCAGGTCGCAAAAGTTGTTTTACACGGGCCGATGTACCACTGCATTAAACTACTCATGCGGCGAGTCATGGATCACTATAAGAGTTCTCAACAAGTCAATAAAATTGGTTATGTCAGAAATCTCATACCTATTTTCAAACACAATGAACTATTTTGGGGCATCATGAAATGTGACAAAACCTCTAACAGAGCCTGCCTGGAGGATTGCTCGCGGTGCATTATAAGGATGAAGATGAGTGGAATTCTTAACAACTAATTCATGTTTGCTGATCAGAGGGGAAACTTACTTGGAGGCTCATCCTTGGTTTCTTATTCTGCACATCACGAAGCTGTACGGTATCCCTCACTGCCCATCACAGAATGCCAGACATAATAACCATAATCAACATTTTTTAATACACCCACTAGAAGGCAAATCTAGTCAGGAGGACTGGATCACTCACTAGAAAATTGGCAATCTCACTCAGTAGAAAATTGGTAATTTCCAGCCATGGTGGCATCTGCTTCCCATATCATTAGTCAGCGTATTACCAGTTAATCTGATTTGGCTCTTCAGATGTCCAAAATACTCACCCCACCCACCAGCAAGGCGATCTAATAAAAAAGATCACAGGTTAACCACATTGTTGGAATATAAAGAACTGATGCTTCTTTCAAAAAATATGCAGCCTAGTTAGAAGGGTAGTATCTTCTGAGCCGGAACAATCTGAGAACACTTTAGGGCAATGGTTCTCAGAGTGGCCTCAGCATTACCTGCGAACTTGTTACAAAGCCCAGTTTCTAACCCCAGAACTACTTCATCAGAAGCTGGGTGGGCCCAGCAATCTGGGCTTTTAACAAGACTTCCACTTCATTCTGATGCACATTAAAGTTTAAAGAACAATGCTTTGAGTCAAATAAGTGAATTCAAATCAACAGATCGCACGTGTGCTCAGTGATGGTGCAGGCCTGGTGTTAATCAGAGCTTTGTTAGTGACCTCTCACTGAAGGTACTTCCCGACAATACTTATAAAACAAGCTAAATCAGCCTCAGAATGGTTTGTAATATATAAAGCCAAATGCCAAAGGTTTTTACTGCTTCCTTTCATTAACGTGAATAATCAAGAGTTGCCAACTAGGACAGGTCACGAGAATTAAAATCCTATGAAGTCAAGTCCAGACCTCTTCCCCTACTAGTCTTAGCACAGGGGCCATTTGGGAGCACTGTGAAGACGTACCATCCTGCTCAGGTGGGGAAGACAGTACTCCACAGCCAGGCCCCCTGCATACCCGCCTGTGGCCGTGGCCTCTCCTAACCGCTTACCTGGGGCCTTTCTGGGGCCTGTCAGTCAGACTAAGGCTTACTGTGTTTTGAACCTCACTTTCTGCCATGAGGTCATTTTCCCCCAGAATTGTATATAGTTCCATGTGTCTGACCTTGGTCTGCTAACCTGACCCTAATTCCTGATGACTTCTTTCTTTGATCAGTTGTCCTTGAATGCAGCCTCCAATGGGACTAGGATGAACCCCATCTCTCACATGCACACACACACACACACACGGTTTGTGTCTATTTCTCTGATGCAGACAGCTAGAGGTCTATCCTTGTATTGTGAATGCCCTGAAAAGGGATATTCTGTAAATCCTCTGGAAATGGTTTTCTTACGGTATTTCAACCACCATCATACACACAATCATCATTCTCACTTTGTTCACTTAATCAGCAATGTTTACTGTCGCTGAGTTTTTGATTACATGACTTCATGGAGATACTTTACTTCAACTTACAAGGAAACACTTGCTGTGTATAGGATAACATGCTAGGCCTTGAAGAGGTGGCCCCTACACACTCGGGAAATGTGATAGAGTTACGGCCCCTAAAGATGTCCATGTCCTATTCCCAGAAAACTGTGACTATATTACTTTACGAGTGAAAAGGGATATTTGCAGATGTGATTAAACTAAAGATCTTGGGATACAGAGATTTTCTTGGGTTACCTATGTGGGCCCAATGCAATCACAGGGACCGCTGTAAGAGAGAGGCAGGAAGGCCAAGGTATGAGAAGGAGACAGTAAAAAAGAAGTCAGAGAGAAAGAGGGGGATCTAGAGTCAAAGGTGCTACATCGCTGGCTTTGAGGATGGAGGAAGAAGCCACGAGCCAAGGAAGGCAGGTGGCCTCTAGAAGCTTGAAGAGGTAAGAAAATGAATCTCCTCCTACAGCCTCCAGAAGGAATGTCAAGGACTTCTGACTCCCAGAACCACAAAATAATTAATGTTGTTTTAGCCCACTAAGTTTGTGATGATTTGTTTCAGCAACAATAGAAAACTACTACAGGGAGTTTACAGGCCTAGTCCAAGAGAGAAGATGGCAGAACAACTTTGGTACAACTCAGGAAGTGACTGGCATAAAAGAGAAACACAAATAATTGCTATGAAAATGCTGATAAAGTACTTCTGGCTGGAGAGACTAGGGAGGTCGCCAGAAGGACGGTGGTTCTGCTGGGCCCTGAAGGATTGGGGAAGATTCAAAGGCAGAGATCCAGGAAAGTGCAGGAGTCAGGGCGCAGAGTTGGGAGCTACAGAATATAAATCTGCTTAGTTCTTGTGACCAGCCACTTTCCCAGAAATAAAAATTATTTGATTAGAATTTCACACATGCTACTCAGGATATAGTAGGTCTCTAAGTACATATATTTAAAAAAACTTATAATAACAGTAAATCACTATATTATATGTGATAAGCTACCTGAAGAATTTAAATACAGAATACGGATCTTGGGCAAGAACCCCTTCTGTGCATCGAACGTGTCATAGCCAAGGGTGAACCTGGCTCATTGTCAGACAGCAGGCTGGGTCCAGATGAACAGAAAAAAGAACAAAGCATCAATAAAAGCAAACAAAAGGGCAACTCTTTAAAGGGCATCTACTAATATTTACAAATTAGGCACTTCCTACAACCTTTGTACGCAAGCTAAACTAAACAATGGAATCCAGCTGAACGGAACAAACCTAGCAGACAAGGTCCTGAAGACTCACACTGATGAAGAAGACATTGGAACCCAGTCTCTTTTTGGTAGCTTTTGGTCGTTTTGTTGGTCTGAAGTTAGAGCCCATGATCTCAAATATTCTTGAATGGCTCTAATTTAGCCTAAGTTTACTCGTGAGGCAATTACCCTATAAAACACATTTTTAAGGCACACCGTTTTACAAGTTGGGAAGTAATAATGGGACTGTCCAGATTGTTGGTCTGTATTATTACCAACATCACCATCAGTCACCCTCTCGGCATGACTTGGGAAGGCAATGTCTTTCCAGGATGCTATCCGTACTCACAGGCCTCAGTCACACTTGCCTTCTTCTTTATCTTCTGGTAAAACGGATTCCTTTTGGAGCTGTTCACATTCGTCCCAGAGGAATTCAGAGGAACAGCTGATCTCCATAGGCCTGCTCCTGTAAGAGTGGCCTGGAGCTTCTGCAGAAAGGTCCACATTCATACTAGAGGCCTCTGAGTCCTGGGGCGGAGCTGCATGCTGTGGAAGCCAACATCCTTCACAAGAAGAACTGGGCATATTACAAGCGTCCTCATTTCTCCTACTCCCCACCTTTCTCTCAAAGCCCAGATATGTAACCTCAGACTGGCTGCATTCAAAGGGAATTTTCTGAGTCATTCTCTTTTCTCTCAAATGTTTGTCATGAAGCGGTGAATGATGACTCTGTCTTTCATCATCTTCCACTGGAATACTTGGTACATTGTCCAGGAAGAGTGGAGAAGGACACCTGAAGGACTTGAGTGACGTGGGAGGATCTTCAGCAAAATATAAGCAGGCTTGAGTACTTTCCAGAGTAGTTAGAACCTAATTAGCCAAGAAGTAAACATCCAGTTAAGTTGAATAACCTTTCCTTTTACCTTTTTTCTGTCTACCCATTAAGGAACGTGAGCTTCTTTTCATGAAATCAGTTCTACTATAGAATTTTGAATGAGAAGGTATTAGAGATTAGCTAAATCCTTTATTGTTATAACTAAGTTAAGTGACTTGAAGTAAAGCATTTAAAAAAACCTGCAGTAAATTGAGTGTCAAGAGACTTGACCGAAGGCCTAGATTTGCTACCACTACTTTGTGACCTTGGGTGAATTTCTTAGCATTTTTTTACTTCAACCTTAATATGTGGAGAATTGGAAGGGTTTGGGGGTACGGTGAACCCTATCTATAGTTCTCACCTAGAGGAGCATTCTTAAAATACAGATCCCTTATCCCTGCCCTAAAGGCTGCCATTCAAAAAATTCAGAGATGGGAGCCCAGGAATCTGTATTTTTAATGCTTCTCAGTTTATTTGGATGTGCAGCCCAAATTCAGAACCACTGACCTGATATAAAATAACACACAACAAACCTTCTCACACATATGTAATTAAAAAATATAGATAGAGAGCTTTACAATTTCCAAAGTACTTTACACACATTATTCCACTTAACCTGCACAAGCAACCCTATCATTTGCACTTTATAGATAACAATGCTGAGTCTCAAAAGAGGGAATCAATCAATATCACTAGTCAGAAAGGAGCAGGCCTGCTGCTGCCTGACCCCAGGTCTCTGGCTCCCAATTCCATGTTCCCTCCACTACAGACCTCACAGCTCCTTCTCAGGCCAAAGACTCCAGGTCCCACAGCCCTTCCTGGTGCTGGCAGGCTTAGAATACAGTTCTCCTGACTCCCAGCCCAGGGCTTTCTATATTCTGATGATGTCAGCTCCCTGATTAAACCCTTCCATTACTCTACGATAGACTCAGGATAAAACTTGAACTCCTAGAATAGAGTTCATGTCCCTCTACCTCCTGGAACCTTCAATTATAACCACTGCAGCTTTTCCTTTGCCATCCCATTTCCATGAACTACCCAGAACTACCTGTGGTCTCAGCAACATGAAATCCACCCGCTCTGAGCCTTTGCAGGTGTGTGTTCTCTCTGCCGGGGAAGTCCTTCCATTGAAGGCTACCTAAACCCACCCTGCTTTTCAGGTCATAGCTCAGCTCCATGAAGAAGCCTCCCTCTTCAACCTTGACTTCCCTCTGCTAGACTGTATTTCAGCTGTTCTCCCATGCAGCATTCCGCTTATCTTTCTGTACTGGAGGTCCACATTTACTGATGGACCGTGAGCCTGAGGGCAGCAACCATAGCTTGATCACTATTGGATCCCCAGCACCCAGCACCCAGTCTGGCACATGCAAATTAGGTGCCAAATAAATTGTTTATTATAAACAAATACTAAATGAATGCATAATTAAATCAGTTGGGCAGATGAGTACATAAAAAAGAGAAAAATACATACTGAATCTTTAATGGGAAGATGTCTTAAGAAAGTTTAAATAAAATATTCTCTCCAAAGTACTCACTATGTCTTTTAATTAAAATTTTTGCAGGGTCCTGGTTCCACCCAATAACGACCTCTACAGAGTACCAAGTGATATGACTCTTTGACCTGGAAAAGCTATGTACTCAATTAGAATTCTCTTTCAGGGCTAGATTTGTCTCATTGACCAAGAATTAACTTAGATACACAATTTCTCCCATTTAGACTTTCCAGGGTTCCACGGCCTTAGTTTGTAATGAAACCGTGTGTGTGTGTACGTACCTCGTCCATCGATGGTCGCAGTTTTGCCCGCGTTGCAGCGCACTGGGCTGCCAGAGAGAAGAGCTTGGCAGAAAAGTTCCGAGGACAGGGAAACACTTTCTTATCTAGAAGTGAGAGGCACGAATCGAGTCCTCTCTTTTCCATCAATTCCATAAGGAGGTCCCTCTAGGAAAAGGAGGAGACAACCCCACTTAGAACTCTATCAGAAAAAAGACCAAGGTGCGGCGAGGAAGACGATTCTTACCAGCTGAATATGCTTTGGGTCATCTAACACCACTTTACAACCTGTCAGAACTTCCATTATCACCTACAAAGAATATACAGAAAGTTAAATATATATACACAATTAGTCACGACCATTAACCTTGGCAATGAGTATAGTGTTCATTCCAATTAATAAAGTTTTATTTTATTGCTGACTGACTACACAAAATGAATGTATAAAACAAGGAGTAACAGGAAATCATAAATCTGAAAGTGAATGCCTTTTTCAAAAATTGAATTTGTCAGGGTGGCCACTGGTTAATAAAACTACGTGGATTTCAAGGGTACAACTCAATTCAGAGCCTCCCCGGCACTCACGATTCCAAAGCTGTAGACATCGGTTTTGGTGGAGAGTTTGCCTTGTCTGATACACTCCTCCGGCATGTACCAGAGGTGTTTGCCGCTGCTGCTGGTCCTGCTCGTCGCGGCGCTCTGGTGCTCCAGGCGGGGCCGGAAGTGAGCCATGGCAAAGCCCGTCAGTCTGGGTTGAAACTGATCGTCTAAAAGTATGTTTGCACTAAAATTATGAGCAAGGACAAACAAGGCAAAGACATTAAAAAGACATTTTGGTGAAAAATAACATGACAAGCTCACCTTTATCTAGTTAATTACAAAGATGGACAAATTAAAACAATCCATACTTTTCCATGAAATAGAGGACATGTGCTCAATTTTCTTCAAGTAGAAATCCAAGTGTTATATAGAACCTAAAGCAAAATCCTCACCTAGGAACAGTGGGCATTATGAATTTATAGCTACGTGTGTGGAGCTGGTGGATAAAGCTGATGCTTTGTCAACAGCAGACACTGAAGTGAACCGGAGCAGCTTTCCTTGTGCTCTGCTTGTGTGATGAGAATATTACCTGGATTTTAACCAGATAACAATGGTCTGTGACATGCACGGAGCTCTGCCTGGAGCCACTCTCCCGTGACGTGTGAGGAATCTTTAGCAGCTCCTGCCTTAGGGATAACCCTAATCCATTGTCCCATTATCCATGGCTTTTTTTGTGTTGAGTCTTTTTTTAAATTAATTTTAGAGACAGAGGAAGGAAAAGAAAAAGAGAAACATCAATATGCTGTTCCACTTATTTATGCATCATTGGTTGCTTCTTGTATATGCCCTGACTGGGGATTGGACCCACAACCTTAGCGTGTCAGGACGACATTCTAACCGAATGAACTACCTGGCCAGGGCCTTGTGTTTGAGTCCTATTTTAAAATATACCCATCTATAGAGGCAGAGGCAAAGGCCAAGTGCTAGGAGTCATTTTTTAGCTGTTCACCAGTCACATAAAAACCCTAATAATCACTTAACATCTTGGCTGAGAGTAAGCATTAGCTTACTTGACTGGTGAAGGGCTGCCATAGCCAGGATAGGAAAGATAAGCCAAGGGGGAGGCACGTTTCATTTGGCCCACACCTGGCTCTGGCACCGCAGGTGGGTTACTTCACCCTGCAAACCTCAGTATTGTCTTTTCTCACAGGTGAAATGAGGAAAACGGCAAAACTCACAGAAGGCACATGGGGCATATAAACAGCCTGCTGTTTGGCATATGCTCAGTAAATGGAAGCTAAGATGAAGGTTAGCAATTGCTCACGAGAGAGAAGATGGATATGGATAAAGAGAGGTGGGTGGGCTAAAAGAAAGTTACCTACTTTTCAGCTTTGTTTAGGGCTATTTGGAGCTTGTTTTTTGTCCCCTGCAGCCAACGCTACTAATAAAAGACCTGCCCACTCAAAACACCATATGGGACATTTGGACTACTACAGGCTCTTATTAAAAGTGTTAAAAGGTGAAGGATGAAAGTAAGAGATTCTTAATCCTGAACATTCCATTAAGAATAAGAATAAGGATGTTTTCATAGGAACATTCCTTATGAAAATTCCAGGAGTCCTTTCTGTCCCTGTGTAAGTAGACTGATAGGCACACCCCAGCTCTGCAGGTATGAATTGTAGGCGTTATTATGATTCAGAATATCCAGAGTCCTGGTCCTTTTTAGAGGGTGTAAAACTAAGGCCTCAAGAATTCTAATACAGACTTTGTCCAGGACTGAGCTGACAACAGACAAAATGATGGGGTTTCCAGGATCAGAAAGATATGCCTTAAACTAGCAGAATCGCAAAATCCAAAGAACCCATCTTCTGCACAAGCCCCAAAGCCCTGACCTGTTGTGTGATCCTTGAATTTATGAGGAGAAAGTCAGGGATGAGACTTGCATCATAAGCACAGTCCTCATTTTTCTCCTTGTCTTTTCACCCCAGATTACTTCAAACCTGGCAGCTTCTAAGACCAGCCTGGGTCCCACACATCTATGTCACTCCTCACCCATTCTTTGTTTTCCTCACTTGGAAACAGTATCGACTGCCCTGACATGCTTCTGAAGATGAGGAATATACTAGAGCCAGATCATACCTTCTCTCTAGCTCTTGGTGAGAACAGACATTTAGCCCATAATTCTTCCATACATGTACACTTCACTAGTTCAGATCAAGAGGAGGGCTTCTGGAGATGCCCTGATCACTTCTGACTGCCAGGGTATTTAATGCAGAAGTTTGCCAGGTGTGCCAGGAGATGAGGTGGGCAGAGAGGTTCATGAACTCTCATTGCCAGGACCAACCCTCCGCCCCTCCAGCCTCAGCCCCACACAGAGCCTGGCTCTCTCCTGCACGCTGCCCCACTGCACTTCAGCCTGGAGGAGGAAGCAAAGCCAGGACTGCCAGATTTGCATTGTCAAACATCTGGCCCTCTCCTTCCCCCATCCCAGCTCTAAAGAAGGTATAAAAATCCCAACTTAAAATGCCAGAATGAGGAGAATGCAAAAACTTGAATCTGTGGAATACTTAGACTCCCTGAAGTATAGGTCTTTTCTAAGCAGAAAAGGAAAAAAGCAGCAGCAACAACAACCATAATCTATTTATTTGACCCTCAGCAAAACTGGCAGGAAGCTTCCAGCAATTGGTGAATCACATTACTGCAAGAGTTGAGCTGTGACCACAATGTGTTACACAATAAAACCCAACAAAGGACTTTGGGTCCGCGAGAGGTCATCAATAAGAATGCGAAATTGTTCTAGGGCACTGCTTTCACACTTTGAATAATGACATTTGGTGAAAAGACAAGTTGTTTACCAGCTGATGTTAGTGTGTAACATAAATTTTGAGTCCAGTGATTTACTCTGTTCGAAATAAAGGTTAATGGTAGCCAAGGAAGAAGGATGTTGTGTTTCAGGACAGTGGGAATTGCAAAAGGCCCTTCAACAATCAATTCTGTCCTAATTCTTCCCCCTGCTTCAACCTTAAATAGAACGTTCTAACATAATCCCCCTGCTTCAACCTTAAATAGAACGTTCTAACATAAAGTGCGTTCAGCTACCATGTAGGTGAACTGAATATGTTTATTGTATAGGGCTGAAAACAGATTACCAAAATGAACACAACACAGATAGCTAAAATCATGTCACAATATAATGCAATAAGAGGGCGGCTTGTTAGCTGGCTATGGTGGTTACCAAGGACACGGACGAGAAGGACCCGATGGCCCACACACCTAATTTAGAGTTTCTACATCCTATTTCTTTTTTAAAATGTTTCTAATTTTATTTTATTTTTTGCAAGATTTTATTTATTTTCAGGCAGGGGAAGGGAGGAAGAAAGAGAGAGAAACATCAGTGTGTGGTTGTCTCTTGCCCACTGGCGGAAACCTGGCCAGCAACCCAGGCACGTGCCCTGAGAATCGAACTGGCGACCTTTTGGCTTGCAAGCCAGAGTTCAATTGCTGAGCCACACCAACCAGAGCATACACCCTATTTTTCTAGTTTTTCCCATAAGACTACTTACTGTAGCAGAGAGACCTCTCTAGATAATTCTTCTAGCAGAAGGATCAGTGGCAGGTCACTAATGGGACAGGGAAGATCCTGCACAAGCTGGTGATCTTATCCTGCCTGAAAATTTATTGTGTTAAGTCTCCCCTTTGGTGAGGATCCTAAGACAATTCTTTTGAGGGAACTGAATCCCCCAAAGGCTACAAGAATTGCTTTCTTTGCTTGCCAATTTGTCTCCTAATTTAGTTGAATTGAAGTCTGTGGGTCTTAAATATAAAGCAAGATGATATACCTAGACTATGATGCAGGACTTAAACTTAAGTGCGCATACCATGTTTGACATGGAAGTGCATGATTGGTTTTTGCAGATATGTTTATTTTTATAGGGTTTTATGGGGAGTTATTGGCGCCCAGTAGCCCAGGCCCTGAGTGCCTGGCAACTCTCAGGAGAAGTCCAGGCTCCACCCAACTGGCCCCAGAGATACATAGGACTGTAGAGGCCTCTTATGGACAGCCTGAGGCAACAGGACTTCTTGCTGCCTGTGTTACTGCTGTTGCAACACCAAGATCCCCCTCACCAGATGAGGCAAGGCCCAGCTTCTCTGGGAACCTGCAGATTATTGGGAAAGGACAGGCACCCACTCCCCCACTGCAGAATGTGGGCATCTGGTCTAAAACGGTATGAGCCTGAGAAACCTTACTCCCGCCTTGGGTGGTGCAGCTTTCTCTCTCCTATTGCACCCAGGCAAGACTCAGAGACAGTACTAAAGCTTGTTTTGCTTTAATGGCTACCTTATGAGTACTGGGCTCTCTGTGTCAGGGCCCAGTCAGTACAGGGCACTCCTCCTGTACTTGTAAAATTTCATCTCCAACCAAACTAGCACAACTTCCCTAAGCCTCAGTTTCCCTGTCAATAAACGGAACTGGCAATGCTTAACTCACGTGGCTGTTACAGGGATTAAGTGAGAAAACATACGCAGAGTGCCTGATATACAGGGAAGGCCTAGAAATGTGCTTTGAAGGATGCAGCCATTGTCCGTTCCACACAGGACACCTTACCTCCAAGTCCCAGGGAATTTGGCTGGCTATCACTAGGAGTTCAAGGGCAGCAATTTGAAATAACAAAGGTAAGGGTGTTGCAGGCTGACCCTGGAGCTCCAAATGGCCCTTGGGTTAACTAGCTTCAAGGCAGTGGCTGTGTTACAAAATAGTTCCAGAAAAATTCTGGAAGAACTTGACTAAATTAACATTTCCAGGCATTTTAAGACCATGGAAAGTAAAAATATATAGCTATTAGTTTGTACATGTGTGTGCACACATATATGTATCCAGGTGTATTAATGAATGTTGGTGTATCAATGTATCATGGTGTATTCATGTATCAATGGTGTTGGTGTTTAGAGTCAGTAATGGTAAATAGAAGAGGGGAAATTTTAACTTATGTAATATTTCACTCTTTTGGCATCTCTTAGGAGGAAAATGATATCTTCTAAGATATTTCGATATCTTAGAAGAAAAGAGGCGCTGAGGGGAAAATAGGACAGTCTGAGGGAAAGAAGTTGTTTATATCTAAAATGTTTCTGAAAAGCAAATGTAGATTTTCACAGGGGGAGAGGGAGAGAGAGGAGACTGGTTAATGACACAGTCAGTCAAACAAAGGCGTTCTGCACTTCCCGCAGGCTTTGCCATTCTCACTG